GGTGATGGTCCTAAGTCTAAAATTGTAAGAGCTTCCACCTTTTAAACCTTTTCTAGACCAATGTTCTATTATTTGCTTGAGGACAAGCAAAAGTATAAGTCTGGGAGGAGTTGATATATCATGGATTTTACCCATTTTCAGCCATGATTTATATATGTTTTTGGAAACAAAAGGATACTTTTTAGTGTCTTTTTAGAGCTTTTACAGGTTAAGGTACTCACTAGTGTAAAACATGCATTTTGGAGTTAAAATGGATACTTTATGAAGATATGAGCAAAACGATGTATAAGCTATCGACCGATGCACATTAAGAGCCATCGACCGATAGAATATCACCCGTGTCGATCGATATATGTCATTTGACATCGATCGATACATAAGTTATCCAAGCGATTAAATGAAGATTAGAAGCCCTAACTGCTTCACAAGAGTTTTAATAATTTACACACTAAATCCCTGGCCGCATGTTAGGCTATATTAAGAGGGTTTTGTACTAGTTTAGGTAGACAATCTTGGAGACCTTTTAGACCTAATAAGGAGAAGCATCTAGCTATCATTTGAGAAGAGTTTTTGATGGAGAGAGAGATCTGAAACTACAATTACAGAGAAGATCTTGAACTCCCTTTTTACTTATTGTTTCTTTTTATTATTATCTTAAAGTATTATTCAGACCATCATGACTTTGTCTCTCATGAATATGTTTGAGTAGTCTTTCTTGTTAGATTTAGGGTTTCTCATTAAGGTTGACTCATACATTGAATATAACCATTATTAAGGTGTTTAAAATATAGTTCTCAATCTAGTTATCAATGAATGCTAAGGACAAGGATTGATCACCCTTACCTCTGATATTAGGGTCAATTTGGAAAAGCGATAGCTTGGCAAATCCCCTAAGTCTAAGTTAATTTAATGAAGACTAGATACCCCATTCAAACATACCTCTACCACTCGCTGGATGCAATATCGATCGACGTGGCGACAGCCGTGTCGACCGATATAGCGGCATTAGCATCGATCGATAGTATCGACAGAAACATCGATTGATATTCTCACAGGTTATCGGACGATAGTCCTAACCCGAGATCCAGTGGAGTTAATCCTTAAATTCCTTAAAAAGTTTGAATCTAGAACTATGAACAATAAAAACCCTTTACAACTTGCATGTATGTCATACCTGAGAAATACCTAAATTTAACTACTTTCTTCCTTCTTAACAAATCAACCAATCAATCAAGCAATTATTTGCTACCTTTTAAGTTACTGTTTAAAATCTTATTATCTAGCTTTATTTCGAAGACATAATAATCTGTTGTGTAATTCTAGAGTCTTTGTGGATTCGATCCCTAAGTACTAGGACTGAACCTCTTATTTGAGAGAGTAATTCACTCCTTAGGGTTAAACATTTGAGTGATATCAGAGTTTTCCAACTTTTCTTTGTTGATAAAAATAAACTGAGAAGACTTCCCGGATAAACAAGTTAGTTTTCCATTTGACCGAATTGTGTCAGAAATTTGACTTTCTACATAAGACTTCCCGGTAAGTCTTCCGGTGAAAGACTTCCATGAAAGTATTCTCAACTTTTACATGAAGTCAGCTCACTATCAGTGGAAGTCTACATAGGTTAGTTTTTCAATTGAAAATTTAAACTTAATCATTTAATTTAAGCCGGAGGACTTACCCGTCTTCCATATTTTTTACCGTGATTCTGGTCAAACCTAAGGTTATGAAGATTTCCTTGATCAATAAAAATCAAATATAGTCAATTGTAAAGTAACATATGCAGAATTCCACCGACAGTAAGTAGACTTCATGTAAAAGTTGAGAAGACTTCCGTGGAAGTCTTCTGGTGGAAGACTTACCTGAAAGTATTCTGTAGAAAGTCAAATTTCTAAAACAAGTCGGTCAATTGCAAAACTACCTTGTTAGTTTTCCAAAGCCTGACTCAGATCTAAGAAAACATGAATATCAAAACACGTTCAAATAACATCAAAATAAAATTAAAAATTAAAAACAATGTTTTTATGCTTAAATAATAACTAAAACAATCAAATTATGTTGAATCTAAAATTTATTAGAATCTAACATTTAAACACACACAAAAATAAATATCCAAAATTTATAGATCTATAACCTTTTGCTTGTCCTCAAGCAAAACAATGGTAGCATGTGAAAGAGGTTTTGAAAAGCGGAGACTCACATAATATCTAAGGTATTACTATCACCCTACTAAGCTGCAACCATATCCAATCATGCCAATTTCAGAGAAACTTTATAGACCTTATCCTAGTATAGCAAATAAATCCATCCTACCAACAACTTAGCAAATACTAGTTTGACTTACCCCTCAACTGACCATGTTTCTTACATAACTATAAAAGTGCATGCTTTACCTTGGGAGTATCGATCAAAGGATGCTTGGACTCTTATCCCTATAAGTATCTGAACACACATGTAGTCTTCTCTGCTTCCTTTCTTCTCCCTTTTCCCTCTTCTGTGAATCCTTTAACACAATTCTAGTGAACAATGTTCACCTTATTGATTTTATCTAAAAAAATCTTCTCTCCTTTTTTTGACAGAGAGTAGGCGAATAATGAGGTCACAGGATACCCCTCGCTTCCAATGATGTGTGATCATTCCATTAGAGTAGAATAATGGGGGGGGGGGTTGCAGAAGACACTTGTACCCCTCTAAACCGCTGGAAATCATTTCAATCTTTTCTTTTAGAAATGCCGAAGAGAGAGAGAGAGAGAGAGAGAGAGAGAGAGAGAGAGAAGGGAACCAGAAACACACACACCTTTACCTTCCAGACTTGCAGGAGGAATCAGAGCCAGTGTATACCAAACCCGAAAGCAAGAAAATAATGTCAAAATTAGGTTTGAAGTTAGCTTCAGTTCCTTCAAACGTTCTAAGCAAGTGTGATACAATGGCAAGGTGATCCACTTTGGTATCTCTAGTAATCTCTGCAATCAACAGTCCTAAGAATGATGCTTATGTTGGGGTCAAAATCGGTTACAACGGAATCAATGAATAAAATTCCAGGAAAAAGTTCTCCATAGGTCTCAGATCTCAGCAAGTAACACATGAAAAAGACAAAGACATGGACAACAAAATATCAAATAAGAATTGCACGGAGGTTTTATTGATTGCTGAGAATAAAGATACAGGATATGGATGAATTAAGAGATTTGAGAACTGCTTAACAAAGAGAATCGCAAAGCTAAAGCAACAAAACATTCTTAGTCTCCGATTTGCTAGTCTAGCAGCCTAAGTCCTAAAATCGTCTAAACTAACCAGGGTTCTCTAGATCTTAATATACTTCTCTTTAGGTCGGTTCTGACTTTTCTTTTCTGCTTTTGGGTCGAGTTTATCTTCTAAACGAAAATATTCTGTTTTTCTCGATCTTCATGATTATCTTATGGAAACGTGACATTTATCTTTTTTCTGTGAGTAATACGTTTAAACGTTATGTTATTCTGGGGATATACTTTGTCTAAAGTCGTAAGTATGCATTTATCGTGTTTTAGAACCGTTCGGCCCATTTTACGACTTTAAACGTTTTACTATCTTTTTAAGAAATCCTCTTTGATGTGATACTATTTTTATAAAATAGTTCAAGTTTCTCATATACCCGAGGCAACCTTGGTGTTATGCAAACCGTTGCCATTTTATACGATCAATTTGAACTTATATGAAAGAACAAGTCCTCATGGTTTTTGTCGCAAAGTTCCAACGATAACTCCGATCGAGACGAAACAAGAGACAGTCTGATCGTGGTTTGAAGTATGATAAAGGCAAGGGATTTGATTTTCGTGTTTTACTCGCCACTGGGTGAGTTGGACGTTGTGTCCAACTCCCCCGGTGGCGAGTTAGACTGCATGGCCCAACTCGCCCAGTAGCAAGTTGGATGTTGTGTCCAACTTGCCACCGGGCGAGTTGGAAGCATGTTTCAACTCGCCCGGTGGCGAGTTGGGTGTTGTGTTCAACTCGCCAACGGGCAAGTTGAACGGTTCGGTCCAACTTCCCCGGTGGCGAGTTAGACGTTGCGTATCCAACTTTTCCTCAATGTTTTTGGTGTTTCGAGTGTTTAATCTTTGAGTTCTTGATTTGGAATTCTTTTGAAAATGTGTCGGGAAAGAATTCAAAAAGAGAAGCGATCTTAGACATCGATTTCGAGATAACTGTTTTTGACCCCAACAGTTTCCCCCCAACGCGCATGTCTTGGAAGCGATTCTTGCGGGCGAGTAGAGTTGTTAATTGGAATATACAGCTACAATTTATTTTGCTCGAAAAAGGTCTGATTATTTTACTGCGGAAAATAAGCTCATCCGTATTTTTCTATTACTATTGGATCCTCACTTCTCATTGTCTCCACATTGTCCAAACCTTTCAAGTTTCCTCTGCCTTCTCCCTAAAGATCTCCTTGCTAAGATGTCTTCTTCCAATCACGATCAAAAGAGTCACGGTGCTCTGATGGGTGGAGATCTTGGGGCGAGCTCATGGAACCCTCCTGAGGTTGTTTCGGGTCACATTACGGAGTTTCTCTCTTTTCAGAATGAGACGGACCGCTGCAATGCCGAGAAGGTGGCGAGTGTGACATGCACAGCCCACCGAATCTTCTCGTCCTGGTCGATGGACTCGATGTTGCTCCCAAGGTGGCAAATGTTGCAATTGCACCTGCGACAGAGGCTGCGATTCAACCGTCGGGTTCGTCCACTACCCCGACTCCTGTTGTCGAGATCAAATCAACCCTTGATTTGATGCCTCCTCCTCCGGCCAACAGGGAGCGCGTCTTATTTTTGCCTTGGGCTAGCGCAACTCCAGCAACTACGGCGAAGGGTCAAAAGAGACCATGTGCAAACCCTGACACGACTAAGAAGAGGAGGTTGACAAAAAGCTCCGAGGCTTGTCCTTCGTCAAAGCCATCGGGCTTAATTTGAGTGTCGAAATTCCGTGGCAAGGTATGCTTAAAACTTTGTCTTGTTTCTTCCCCTTTCGATGGTATGAGGGTAACGTTCATTTTCTGATTATTTGTTTCGTTCCTTGGTTTGTTTTGCTGATCGATGGGATGATTAATGAGTGCGGATCAGAGGTTGATCGTCTAGCAAAGGAATTAGCGGAGTCACAGGAAAAGGAGGCAAGGAAGGATAAATCCTCAGAGCTGTGTAGATTCCAGTGTAAGGTCAAGAGTGGTGAAGGGTCAGCGATTTGCGAAACGAAAGGAATTAAGGAGGCCATGCGCGCGGATATTGGGACTCTCCTTGCGAGGATTGATGATTCCCTTGACTTTCTAACGGTCGTATTTATGGTAGGCATCTTGCTTTGGCGACCGTTAATGGAGGGATGATCGAGGTTCAGCTGATTCAGGATGAAGCGCCTTTGTCTCCGTGGGCTGAAAAGGTCAGGCTCTCTGCTCGTAAAGCAGAGATTGCGAACACGGAAAGGGACTTCGAGCTGATCCTTTCTGGTCTGAAGTCCGAGTGCGTACTCTCGCCGTTCCTGGATGATCCTGAAAGGCATGACCTTGGAGTTTAGGAGTGCCGAGACGGCACAGCCTCGACTTTGGATGAAGTGATGGGTGAAGATGAGGCTCCGCGTCTGGAGGATGATTGAGGTTGCAGTCTCCGCATCGTAGATGGTTTTTAAAAGTTTCATGCGTTTATAGTCACGGGCGGACTGTTTTTAAGGTAAACATTTTGTTTAGGATTAAAACACGTATCTTTGAGCATTGGAGATATTTCGCTAAGTGAGAGGTTGATTTTTTTTTTTTTATTCTCTCTGCTGCGTCATGCGATATAAATGTTTGCGGGCATAAGATGTCTCAATGATTGATATTTATAGGTTCATGAGTGATTTAGAAGAAAGTGATGATTTTGGAGTCCTTTTGGAGACAAGAGGAATTTCACCCGAACTGACCTTCGAGCATGCCCAGAGCTCGACATTAAGAGATCATGATCGATCGATGCACACCTCATGACATCGATCAATGGGCGTAACACAGAGACACGATTTTGGCTCAGATGGTTTGGAGCCCAAGTCTTCGCCAAATTACAATATTACCTCTGACGCAGAGACACGACTTTTGGTTTTCTTGTTTTTAATACCTAAAATAGGTAGAGAGAGGTTTGGAGAGGAGATTTCAAGACTTCTACTAGCTTGTGATTGGAGCTCCATTGATTTATCTAAGTCACTTTCTTAACTCTTTATTGTCATGATTTGATTTGCTTTTTGCTTTGCTATGTCTAAGTAATTCTATTATTAGATTTAGGGTTCAAATAGGTTATGAGGGATTAGCTTAAATATAGAATTACTAAGTTCTGGTATTCATCAATATGATTGATCTTAAATACTTTAGTTCTAGAGTAGCTAACTGGAACCCTGATGACTGAATGATTAGAACTGATCATGATTGAACTAAAATTGTTAGAAACATGTGACAGCTGATCTAGGAACTTAGTGAGCATTATTTAACCGGCACATAATGCTTGCATCTAGAAAGCCGATCGATCGATATTCATATTGAATTATTGATTGATATTTTAAAAAGGTGTATCGATCGATACTCCAACACTTTCTACTGATCAAAATTGCGATAGCTGAGACAGTAGATCTAGTCATTAGACGGTCTAAAATGGGACACGCTGATGGACTGTACTCTACTTGAGCTCTAACATATCCTCCAAATTAAACCACTATATCTTTTTAATCCTGATTACCTGAATAAAAACCCTAAGTCTAAGCTACCTTCTTAATATCATTACAAACCTATTTCAAACCAACCGAACGACTACCTTGTTCACAACATGTCTTTAAATTAAACACTTCAACCTAGCTTAATAACCCCGATTATATCTATTTCATTCTCTAGCTCCTTGTGGATTCAATCCCTAAGTACTACAATTGAACCTCTTATTTGAGAGAGTAACTCTTTAGGATAATTTGAGTGATATATCAAATTTGGCACCGTTTCCGGGGATCTTTGACCACCGTAAGATTTAATCTTAAGTCTAGGTTATTTTTTTTTTATTTCATATTATTTATTTTCTAAGAATTATTTTTTCTTCTGTTCTTTCAGGTGGATGCCCAGCAGTACCAGAAGCAATAAGGAAAAATAATTGCTATTCTCAGAAAACCCTGCTAGTTTGGAACATCAATCCACATAGAAATATGCTCCACATCGCTCGATTGAACCACTTGTTCATCGATCGATTCTTGCACTCGACTGTCAAACGAAACTGTTTGTGTCAAAATCGGTCACGGCGGAATCTATGGTAAAAAGTCTCTGCAAAAATATAAAAGAAATCGTTTTATAAAACTCGAAGAATCGTTTTATAAAACTCAAGAATCGTTTTATAAAACTCGAAGAATCGTTTTATAAAACTCGAAGAATCGTTTTATAAAACTCGAGAATCATTTTATAACACTCGAGAATCGTTTTATAACACTCGAAGAATCATTTTATAAAACTCAAAGAATCGTTTTATAAAACTCAAGAATCATTTTATAAAACTCAAAGAATCGTTTTATAAAACTCGAGAATCGTTTTATAAAACTCGAAGAATCGTTTTATAAAACTCGAGAATCGTTTTATAAGACTTGAGAATCGTTTCATAAAATTCGAAGAATCGTTTCATAAAACTCGAGAATCATTTTATAAAACTCGAAGAATCGTTTTATAAAACTCGAGAATCGTTTTATAAAACTCGAAGAATCGTTTAATAAAACTCGAAGAATCATTTTATAAAACTCGGAGAATCGTTTTATAAAACTCGAAGAATCGTTTTATAAAACTCGGAGAATCGTTTTATAAAAATCGAAGAATCGTTTTATAAAACTCGAAGAATCGTTTTATAAAACTCGAAGAATCGTTTTATAAAACTCGAAGAATCGTTTTATAAAACTCGGAGAATCGTTTTATAAAACTCGGAGAATCGTTTTATAAAACTCGGAGAATTGTTTTCTAAAACCAAAAGAGATTCCCGAACAAAGGAAATCCACGGAAAACTTGGAAGATCGTTATCTCGGAAAAGCGAAACAAACGTCGATTACACGATCGTCCGAATTAAGCACAAAAACGCGAAAAACCGAAACCGCCGTAAAACGCAAACTAGTCTCATCCCGACTAGTTCGCCCAACGGCGAACTAGAAACTTCCGACTAGTTCGCCCAACGGCGAACTAAGCCGGTTAGTTCGCCGTTGGGCGAACTAGAAGTTCCCAAGAGGCGCTGACTTTGCCCCAAGGGTTCTTATCGCCTAGCTCGCCATACGGCGACCTGGCCAAGCTGAATTAACTCGCCGTACGTCGAGCCGATCATCCCGAGCCTCGATCTCCCATATCTCTGATTCAAGGCATACGTCCTTCGACACGATCGTATTCCGAATCACGGTCGAAATGTCTTCTGCTTCGTCTCGATCTGTCCTATCGTTCGAGTATTAGGATAAAAACCGTAAAACTATGTTTTCTCGAAAAGAACTCGAGGATATCGTATAAAACGGCAACAGTTAAACGAAACACCGAATATCGCCTAAACTATACGATTTATTCGAGATTTTTCGTAAAAATCGTACAAAACACGTTTTCAATAAAACCCCGAGTAAATCGTAGAAAACGGCAACGATTAATCGAAACATCGAACATTGCCTAACTTTACGATTAACTCGAGAAACTTATCTAAAAACGGCATCGTATAAGGACACGATCTCGTCTAAAGTTGTAAAACGGATTTATCGCAAAATAGCTCAGAAAGTCCTATAACGCGATAAAAGCCACTCGCGAGTTTAAAAAGAAATCGAACCCGAATATACACTGAAGTTTTGGCGATTTACTCACAGAAAGAAAATAAATGTCAAACTTGAATAGAAATGTCAAGTTTGAGGATAAATAGAAGATTTCCGCGGGAAAAAAAAGGAAAGATCGAGATAAATGGAAGATTCCCGATAAACTCGAATCTGGGCGAAATGGAAAGACTAAACCGCCTAGGAAGGGAGTATATAAGCAAGAGGCATAGGGCAGAAGCAGAGGGACGATTTTCAGAGATCTCATCTGAGACTTTTACAACTTTTCTAGACTTAGAATTTCCCGCACTTAGAAACTTAGGCTTTTTCTCGACAAGTTCGGTTTCTATGACTGGCGCTCCATTACTAGACAAACTCGCCTAGACGGTTCGATCTCTGGTGCAGCTCAATCAACTTAACTACGTTCGACATGATCCTCGAAAGGGGGATGTAGGCAGCCTTTCATAAGGTTCAGTCCGAAATCAATCAAATTCTTTTTCTTATCTTTTTCCGTCATTTGTTATCAAACTGCGACTCGACTAGATTTAGGGTTTTATGTTGGCAGTTCACTGATGGCCCTTGCGGCCGAAGCCTATATAATTCCCTGTAATAATCGCAACGCTCTTACGCGAATCGGAAATAAGATCAATTTTCTCTATAAATTCGTTATATAACGTTTTTCATATTTTTCCGCATTTATTTGGTTACTTGTCGTTGGCTTTCGCAGAGATCCGGTTCCTCTGGAAAATTAGGGTTTTCCTAACTTTCCTTATTTAACGGAAATCGACAAGTGTGAATTTCGGTTCCCACAGTTTGGCGCTAGAAGGAGGGGGGGTCGGATTACTCTTACTCATAGCCGCAAAAGCTTGATCAAAATGATGTCTGGATATATGAAAGAAAAAGTCACAACTCGCAAAAAGACGCTGGTAAAACAACTCCAGCAGCGACTACTCGTACAGCCACCGCTCACGCAAACGCTGTAGTACTCAACAAAATCGAAAACCTAATCGCGACTCTTTGCCACGGGAAGAGCAACAAAACAAGCTCACGATTTCAATCTCAGATCACTAAGGGCAACGATAAAATCTATCAAACCCCATAGTGTTTTTCTTATTTCCGATTTGGAAAAATTTTACGGGTTGAGCAAAAGACATTTTCTGAGAACTTTTTGGAAAAATAAAACTTGCTCTCCCAGAAACTGCGGAACAAACCGTAAGTTACTCGCGAAATAAATCCTAGGTTACTCGCGGAAAAAACCTAGGCTGTTCGCGGAAAAATCCTTAGGTAACTCGCGGAAAAACCGTAGGTTATTCGGGGCAAAACCCTATGTTACTCGCGGAAAACCCTAGGTTATTCGCGACAAATACTTAGGTAACTCACGGAAAAACCGTAAGTTATTCGCGGAAAAACCCTATGTTACTAGCGGAAAAACCCTAGGTTATTCTCGACAAATCCCTAGGTTGCTCGCGGAAGAACCTTAGGCTACTCGCAGAATCGGGCAATACTATCCAGCCGAAAAGACGGTGAGTTGGCCAAGAAACCTAGCTTGCCATCTTGGCGAGCTGACCGGCTTTCCACCTCGTCCTAGAGGCACTGAATTTTCCCCGAGGGTCCATACAATCCAACTCATAGCTATGGTGAGCCGGACCGTACTCTAAACAATAATCGCACTGCTTTTCGTTTCGTCTCAATCAAAGTTTCGTTGAGATTTTACAACGAAAACAAGATAGCTTGATGAATCGGGACTGTGCTCGCCGACT